AATTTATTCTTTTAAAAATTTACTTGATATTTATATAATTTTTATTCTATTTTAAATTTATGTTAAATGAAACTTAATTAATATAATTTTATAATTGTAACTTTATATTAAAATTCTTATTTTTAATATTTATTTTTTAAAAAATTAATTAATTTTTTATCAAATATGAAATGAATACAAATATATTTAATATCTAACAGAAATAAGAATATATACACAAATCCTAAACCCATTACATATAAAAGTAAAGATGAATATAAAATACAGAAATAAAGACGAAAATGGAAATGAAATCTGTATCCATCTCATCTTATTGCCATCCCAACCCTCATTATAATTATGATATAAGATATAAAGAACTTGGTATAATTATAATATAAGATGTATAATATACAGGTGTTATAAGAGTTTGGACTGGCCAAAAATTTGGTTCAACAAGGGGGAGAAACCTATAGTGAATGGTTGTTTAGACCCAAAACACAGAAAAGGAGTTTGAATAATTCAGAGCAGCCTTTAGAAGGATCCTAAAAGTCCATCTATTCCTTAACTCCTGAAACTAAAAGAATTAAATAAAAATGAGCCTCGAAGTTTTTTTCCTCATTTTTCACTATTTCGTTTGAACAAACAAGGAATTTGCCTGAGGAGTTATATACGTGGTTTTGAAGAACTTAAACTCTATTTTCTTAACGCTTTTTACAGATTAAAAAAAGTTTCCTGAGGTGGTAATAAAAAACTATAAAGAGTAATCTTAGGTTGTCGGTCAAACAATATTTATGCAATAATTACATTTGAATAACCTAACAAAATAAGCAATAAATCATTCACTAACATGGCCTCATGAAACTCAACCTACTTTAGCTAACCCTACTCTATTCCCATGAAAAAAATATAATCATCACAATCCAATCATTAGGAAACATGCAAGGGTAAATTATATTTTAAAAGAATAAACATATAATAAGTATACAAGTAAAGACGATTATATTAATCACCAACATCAACATGTAAATCAAAAATAAAAACAATTCATGGTTCACAACATATCAACACAACAAAACACATCAACATGACATCATCAAGATTGAAAGACAAACAACTCAAGCATATCAAACTTACACCACAACTGTGTCATTCAACAATATAATCACCAAAGCATATGAACAACAACAAATCACATCACATCATATACATATACCTTAACTAATGCATTGTCACACATTCACTTAGGGAGATCTTTTACAACAGGATGAGCAATCTAAGTAGTTTGACCTTATTAAACTAACACGAGCTTTTTACACCTGTTAAGTCAACAACTAAATTGAAATGTCAATATCTAATAACATAGTTTCTCAAATGTTGTTACTTAAATTAGGAGGTTTGGTATTTTTTTCAGGGTAGAATAGACTGGATATGAAACTATCACGATATTAGTTTGCAACACTAAGCCCCCTATGAAATTAACCCTCTAACTATCCTCCAAATACTACGCCCCTCTGATACTTAGTTAAGGGCTAAGTCCCTAGCCTTACACTTTACTCAATTGGTCAATTTATACTCGTATGTCTCGATTTTGTCCATATACAAATCAACATTAGTCACTCTATAATCAATATAACTCGACCTGACTCCTATATTGTAGTCACTTATAGTCGGTATGTCTCAACCTGACCCACATACCACATCAACTAAATTCTTAGAGGAGACTCAACAATCCACTTCAGAGATAACACCTACTTAAGGAAGGTTTTTTTAACAATTGGGCTCATATAGCATCATAGTAATACTCTCACAATGGGATATCCAACTTTCGAAAGCACTTCTCCTATAGAACTAAGTCAATAAACATGCTTAAAGGTCTTTAACATTCTTAGCAACAATACCTCAATTGGTCAACAATATTCAACAAATCATGCTTAAGTGCCTAAAACAATCTCAACATCACACCTTAATGATATACATCTATATGCATCACCCTAAATTAATGGATATAGATCAAACAATATTAATTAATTTACAACGCAAATACATCTCAATAATTCAACCATAGAATTATCTACGTATATTATCCTAAATCAATATATATAGACCCCACACACGCCTAGCAACGTACAACATGCAACATATTCATCCAATTCATCCAGGCTCTCCAATTAATCATGTGAACAACAAGTTATTATAAGGCATCTTATGCTAGGTGCTATCCATGCCCAGTGCAGTCAACCCACATTCGTCATGGATAAGGTAATGACCCATGGGCCCTCACACCTGGTGTGGTAAAATCTCACATCCGACATGGTAAAATCCCACACCCAATCCCAATCCAGGCAGAGATGATTATCTCTCCTTTTGCATCCAACACCAATATAGATAGAGTCAATTTTCTCATCTCACGCGTCGATGTCATTTTAACTTGTGGCAATTCTCTCTCCTCACTTCTAACACCACCAATCATGCGCCTAATGTGAGCAAGAAGAAAACCTTTGATTGCAACAATGTCTGACCCCATGAAAGTGCAGCCAGTGCAATAGTGAGTTCTGCATTGTAGACTCACAAATTTGAATCAAAATACCTTAAATTCAAAAAATTCCAAACATGCATTGCAACATAGCATTCAAGTACATCATCAACATTTCATTCTACAACAGAATATCAACATGCAACACAAATATGACCAAATCATCATATTTCAACTCTACACTCTTCATAGATTTTAAGAACTACAAAACTCATATATTCACCATACAAATCCAAGAATCCAACAACTCATCTACATCTACTAAAATCTAATAGCATGCAACTCAAACAATTAAACAACACCAAGGTCCTAACTTCCCATACCTTAGAGTTGAAGTGAATTGAGAAAGGAAAAGAAAAAAACGAGCATC